TCTCTCTCTCTCTTTCTTCTGCTTTTTTTGTTTCTCTCTCTCTCTCTCTCTCACTCTCTCTCTCCTCCCGTTCACGCTGCGCGCGCCTCCCGCGCTGCTCTCGCCGCCCCCCTTCCTGGCCTTCAGGAAGGCGCGCTGCACTCTCCAGAGCCGTCGGGCGTCCTCGGCGGGGCGGGGGAGGAGGAGGAGGAGGAGGAGGAGGAGGAGGAGGAGGAGGAGGAGGAGGAGGAGGAGGAGGAGGAGGAGAGGAGGAGGAGAAGGAGGAGGAGGAGGAGGAGGAGGAGGAGGAGGAGGAGAAGGAGGAGGAGGAGGAGGAGGAGGAGGAGGAGGAGGAGGAGGAGGAGGAGGAGGAGGAGGAGGAGGAGGAGTAGCAGGAGGAGGAGGAGGAGGAGGAGGAGGAGGAGCAGGAGGAGGAGGAGGAGGAGGAGGAGGAGCGCCACTGCCGAAAGAGGAAGGCGGACAAGAGAAGAGAACCCGTCCAGGGGGCAAGAGAAATCCGCATCCCCTCCAGGGGAATTCCGGACGAGAGGCACCGGAAGCCGAAGAGAGTCAGCGGCGGGCCTTGGGGGCGGGCGGCCGAGGCGCGGCCATCTCCCCCGACACGCCCCGCAGCTCACGCCCACGTCAACAAGCCAAGCAAGAAGCTGTGTGCTCGGCGAGGGCGGGCGAGCGGCGCAACAGCCGAGCCAGCCGAGCACGTGCGGCGCACGAGCACCTCTCCCCGCGAGGGCTGCAGCGATGCCGGTGAGGAAGAGAGCACGAGCGGGCCGGGTCATAGAAAACGGCGACGGGGACCAGCTGGGGCGGGGGAAGAGGGAGGAAAGGAGCGAAGCAGCGACGAGCGAGACCACGACAATAGAGACAACCGAGGGCGGAGGACGAGGGAGAAGCGGAAAGAGTGCTCAAGTCTGTCGCTCCTCGGCAGCCCACAAGATAGGCGCGAGCGAACGGGGTCCGAGAAGCGTCCTGAGCAACGCCATCCATTGACGAGTGTGCGAAGGGCGGGAGCCGGCACACGAGGAGGAGCGCGCTGGGCGATGCGGACGAAAGAAGCTACAGGGCACTGCGGAATAGTGTCGGCGCGCGACGTGCGCTTTCGGGTGCGCTTCCCGAGGGTGCCGGAGGGCGAGGACTCCTTCGGCCGCCTCGAGGGCCGCAGTGGCAGCCTTGCGGATCCCACGGGCGGGGTCGGCGGGCACCCCGGGAATGCCGGTCTGCGCGGCGAACGTGGAGTACATGTGCTGAAAAGCCGAGGCCTGAAACCAGGCATTGTGGCAATAGGCGGTCATGCAAACATCGTCGTTGGCAGTGGACGCCGAGAGGTCCCTGGAACGGAAGAAAGCAGAGGAAGACACCGCGCAGCGGTACTGCGCGGCACGATTTTCCCTCCAAAGCCGGCGGGCCTCGACAGGGAAGCCGAGCTGGACAAGAGAGCCGAGAAAGCCGAGAAGAGGAGGAGGAGGAGGAGGAGGAGGAGGAGGAGGAGGAGGAGGAGAAGGAGGAGGAGGAGGATGAGGAGGAGGAGGAGGAGGAGGAGGAGAGAGGATGCAAGGATGAGGAGGAGAGAAGGGAGAGGAGAGAGGCAAGCTAAGTGCGCTCGGGCCACATCTGGTATCCTACCCCTCGCCCCCCTCCCTTCCCATCGCATATATTATTTCTCTATGCGCGGACGCGTGCCACAGCGGACCCAGAACTCCCAACTAAGACCCCATCCTGTCATGTGCAACCGGAAGAAAGGGAGTTGCGTACATAGGAGGAGGAGGAGGAGGAGGAGGAGGAGGAGGAGGATGAGGCTAATGAGGTGAGGGTGAGCAGGAGGGTGAGCAGGAGGAAGAGGATGGGGCTGAGGAAGGAGGACGAGGCCGAGCAGAGCAGCAGCATGAGCTGGAGTGGAAGGAGAGGGGTAGCGGGCGGACCAGAGGAAAAGGATAAGTAAATCGTGTGGGCGACAACGACGAGGAAGGAGGAGGAGGAGGAGGAAGAGGAGAAGGAGAAAATCGGGTGGGAGGAAGAAGAAAAGAAGGAGGAGAGGAGGAGGAGGAGGAGGAGGAGGAGGAGGAGGGCGTGGGCGTGGGCGTTGTCGTAGGGGCGTGGGCGCGGCGCCGGCGCGGGCGTTGGCGTGGGCGCGGGCGCGGGCGTGGGCGTGGGCGTGAGCGTGCGCTTGGGCGTGGCTGTGGGCGCGTGCGTGGGCGTGGGCGCGGGCGTGGGCGTGGGTGTGGCTGTGGGCCTGGGCGTGGACGTGGCCACGATCCCAGAACGAGGCCCACGCCGCAGCGGGAGCTTCCTTCTGGAAGCAGTGCGCGGAGGGGAGCGCGCGACCCTCGGCACGTCTTCGGGGGGAGAGGAGGGCAGCATGCATGGTGAGCATGCTGCAGGAGAGGAGAGAGGAGGACGGCGGGAGGTTAGCTGGATGCGCCCGCGCTATATGTGAAATCCCACCATTCCCGCCCGTCCCTTCTCATTGCACGTGTCCTGGCGGACCTGTGCACCCTAAACAAACCCACCGGTGTGATGCGCAAACAGAGGAGGGAGCTGTGCACGTCAGAGGAGAAGGGGGAGGGCTTGTGAGGCTGTTTTCGCTGGTCTGTAGTTGTTGCCCCACGGGGTGTCGCAGTGGGTGCCCATGGGGTACTATCGAAGACTCTGCCGGAGAATATGCCATCTGACGCAAGATGTGACAGTGACGTTTTTCCAGTACATGTGCGCACAAGTATCGATCTTGAGCCAGAATGGGTACGGACTTTGCCTGGCCCATTCGCTCCCTCTCTCTGCTCATGCTACTGCTGTGAATGCGAAAGAGCCTAGGGATCTGTAAACCGCGCAATGTGCACAGCACTGCCCTGACACGCTCTTGAAAAGTACAACGCATTTTGTCCCACCTATTTGCTCTGAAAACCTAGCTGTAGATATCGAAGGTGGCCGGCCGGGTAAACGTCACCACATTCAGGGAGGAGGAACTACAAATACATATACACTGCGTGTGTAGTGTACGCACCAACGACTGTACATCAGGCTTTCAAGAAACAATGGTTAACTCAAGATTTGCACATACTACCATCATGCTACGTTCAGTGGTACGCACTCCCCCTGCCCTGGGGCACTCAGTACCACTGTCGGTCGCGCTGGTGGACTCGAGGCTTGCCTCCCCGACGTGTCTTTTTCTTCTTTTTCGGGGGCTCCTCCGTCTGCTCTGGCTGTTCGCCGTCGCCGCGTCCTTCACGTTGAGAGGGTTCGACGTCTTCTGGCTCGTCTCCTGGCTCGTCTTCTGGCGGGGGCTCAAGGCAGTCCTCTGCCGGGCCAGGAACTGAGGACGATGAGCGCCATGGGAAAACATCGCCCAGATCGTACATCTCGTCCAGGGCGTCCCACCACTCTGGCTCCCTCCCGTCGTACTTCTTGTAGAGGTCTGCCATCCGATGTACAAGCTGTGGTTTCTTGCACTCGTAGATCGCCTTGAAGATAGCTCGCCACGCGGGGTCACCACGCTCCAGCGTCGGGCGGTGCACCGGCCCATCGCCGGCAATGTCTCCATTCTGCTGTGGGCCTGGTGTGGTGCTCGTCGCGTGTGCTGCACATACCGCAGGAAGGAATCGCTGAGGCGGTGGTGGATACTTCCCACGCATAGCTTCGCGCAGGTTCTTCAGGACATCAGCTGTTCCGAGCTTCGTGAGTCCGTCCGCCACCATGCTCTTCGTCTCTTGGTGGCCGACGCTCAGCCTGCCCATTTGGATCTCCTCGCAAATACGACTACCTCTCACTCCAAAGTATCGCGTGCGCCAGTTAGATCCATTTGACACTATGGTAAGAGCTGCGGCATTGTCAAGAAGCAGAAGAACAAAGTCAAATATTATACCCCACTCCTCCAAGAGTACGCGGACGCCCTCCGTGACCTGCCACGTCAGAGCGGCAGCTCCAAGTTCCGCTTCGGCCGTGCTCAGAGTGCTGACCGTCTGACGTGAAGACCGCCACAATAGAGGGGCACCGGCCCAAGATACGAACATCCCAGTCTGCGCCTTCATGTTGGAGCCCGCGTAGCCGGCGTCCGACCAGGCCACCAAGGAGTTCTCATTCCCGTCGACGCTCAAGTACAAGCCCTCGTCCTTCGTGCCTCTGAGATATCGGAGGACCTTCTTGGCCAGCTGCTCTGACCACCCTGCGTGCTTCGTGAGGGCGCTCGCGAGCAGGCTTACGAAGTATGCCACATCGGCACGGCTTCTCGTAGCAAGCCAATTGAACTCTCCAGCATATGCTTGAAGAGCCCGGAGACGCTGAAGATCAGGGAGGTCCTCGTCTCCTAGTGCATCCATTTGCACTGATGTCAACGAGTTCGCGTCGGTCATGCCATACTTCTCGAGCAGGTTGTCGATGAACTTCCATTGGCCTAGATGGACGCCTCCTGGGTCACGTCGAAGCTCTAACCCTAAAAAAGTAAGAGGGGTCGTCTCCGTCAACATGACCTCGTCACTCATCTTCCACTTCGTCCGGAACTCGTTCAGGAGCTCGCCCCGCATGCCCCCTTCAGGGCTGAGCACTAAAAAGTCGTCCACGTAAACCACTAGTAATCCCAAGGTGTGCTGCGAGTTGATGTCGTCAGTGTCCTCAACGATCCTCCACACCTGCGTGTCGCTGTCGCATTGTTTCAGCCTGTAGCGAATACCGCCAGCTGACCACTTCAGACTGCGAAAAGTGTCATCTCTGTGGATTCCCCATGCGCGAGGGGATATCTTCAGACCGTACACTGCTTTGTGCAACGTCCACAGCTCCCCCGGCTTAGCCAACCCCTGCTCCACAAAGGCCTTCGGAGGTTGGACCACAACGAGCATGTGTTGAGGTAGGGGTGCATTCATAAATGCTCCGGAGACGTCCACAGCTCCGATCTTCCATTTCCGCAGGAGGGCCAACCTCACTGATGCAATCAAGCTGGAAGTCTCGGCTTGGGCCGTCCACTGCTGCTGAGTCGGGCCGCCCTTCTCGAAGTTCCCGCAGGCCACGGCCCTCACCTTACAGGCTCCCCCCTTCATGGTGTACACGCACTTCATGGGAAGAGGAGCTCCGTGCTGTCGCCTCTCCTCAGCCGCGGTGACTGTGAAGACGTTCCGGCTGAAGAAGTTCTCAACGTACTCTTTCTCAGTAGCAGCCCTCCACTGCTCTTTCACCTTCCCCGTCGACGCTCGGACCTCCGCTGCCGTTACACTCCGGGTCCCAGGTTCCTGAAGAAGCTCGAGGTCGCCTTCCGTCATCAGCTCGTGGACGACCTCTGGCGGGACATCCGCCCTCTCCCCGTTGGAGTTCAGGATCGCCGACGCTGCACGCAGAAAGCTAGCAGACCTCTTAACCGGCTCGGAGATGAGATAAGACAGCCTGTCTGTGATCGCGGTGCCCTCTTGGAGCTCCTCGCCCATGGAGCGGTAAGCCGACGCAACGCCTGCTTCCCAGGTGGCGCCTGCAATGCAACCGCGCGTTGGTTGCTCCGAGAGTGCCAACAGAGCATGCGGGCACATATTCATGTTGTCCCTGGTGTCCTTGGAAATACCCGTGCCAGTTCCAACATCGATAATAGGAGATGTGTTGATAGTGCAGCCCGAGGCTGCAGCTGCCGCAGCGTTCCCGAAGATAGGTTCCACCACAGGCTCCACGTCCAACTGGTCAATGAGCTCCTCGGCTCGAACCAAAGCTGGAGCAGGCTTCTCCTCGGGCTTGGCGTCCTCCTCCGGCGCCTCCAACGGCAGTACTTCCTCGAGAACGGCTGCCACCGGCATCGGAGGCCGCACAGCCAAGATGCACTTCCCCCACTCGTGGTTGTGATCGGTAGTCACCTTTCGTTTCTGATGTCTTTGATGGCAGGCTGGGCAGGTTGCTGTCGCCAGCGTTGCTGCCCCGGTGCCCGGCGAGAGCTCCACGGCAGATGCATCGTACAGCGCCGCCTCGGGAGCTGGCATTGGCGCGATGGGCGTCTCGTAGTCGTCCCAGGTCGCCTTCGCGATGACCAGCTCCTCTTCTGTAAAACCTGCCGCCTGTGCATTCACCTTTGGGGATACCCGCCCCCCCTGGTGCACCCACAGACCTCCTGGAACCGAGTCGCAGGGCCCGAATACAGTAGCAGGAAGGGCCCTGGGGAGGAATGCATTCCTGGGCTGAGGATCCACGTTGACCATGACCCTGGTGCCGAATGGTACCTTCGGAGGGTCAGCATATCCAGCGTCCACTCTGTAGAGGTGCGCCGCGGCCAAAATGGACATGCCCCGCCAGCGGGTGGGGAGGCGAGATCCGGAGAGCAAGTACCTGGCCCTCTTCTTCAGGAGGCCCACTGCGTTCTCAGCCACGCCGTTGGAGCTAGGGTCGTAACCCTGGGTGGTGGTGTGCGAGATGCCGTGGAATCTCAGGTACTCGTCCACAGTAGTGTTCACAAACTCCAAACCACGGTCCGAATGGATTCGGTATACCAATCGAGACGGCATTGAGCCATGCTCCGTACGAATCTGCGCCAAGAGTCTTTGCAACGCCTTGGGGGTGTCACTTTTCTTCTCCAGAATGGCAGCGTAGATCAAGGCGCCTCGAGTCGTCTCTTCTGCTCCCCCCGCCTCCGCGCCTCGTACACCACCTCGTGCAGCAGGTGCGGCACCAGGAGCATCAGGGGCTCGACCTTCCTCACCCGCGCGTCCTTCACCAGGTACTTCCCGATCACCTTCACGTACATGAGCCCCGCCTGGCACCAGAGGATCAGCATCAGGAACGCGATCGACATCAAGCAGTGGGTCGCCGTCAGCGCCTGAGCGGTCATCTGAAAATCGAACAACAACTGCCAAAAAGTAATGCCCCATAGAGCTGCCTAGGCGCGCTCCGGGCTGAGGAGTCCCCTCATGAGGCCCACTGAGGTCCACGGAACACACACCAAGACTTCGATTGCCGTGTCCACGGTGCAAGTGCCTCCTCTGAGCAGCCGCCTGCCATAGGGCATTCCGTTTGTCGTAGCCCTTTGATTGCCAGGGGTCGTCACGTAAGTCACCCACGAATCTCTGAGCAAGCTCTCCTGAAGTTCCGGCCGCCGTCTGCGGCTCCTTTGAGGCTGCTGCCAAGGCGACGTCAGCCTCGGGCTCAGGCACGCCCAACGCAGGCTCACCCGAGGTGCCGGCCAACGGCTCAGGCACTCTCGAAGCTGCCGTTGTTGAGGTGCCGGCCTTTGCCGACATATCTGTCGATGTACCTGGCCTGCTCTGCGCGAAAATTGAAAGCCATGGATCCACCAACTGGCGCCATAGATGCATCATCCCACGCTCCTGAGCCTTGGTCCTCAACCCCACCAGGGCTGCATCGATCATGTCGCACTTCTCGGCCATGTGGTTCGTCGTCTTAAGCTGGTCGGTGCAATGATCGGGTGGATGCTGGCTGCCCCAGCGCTGGCCTCGACTCCCCCCATCGGCAGATAGGTCGTGCAGGAGCCCGTCACACAAAGCATCAGGGCACTGCGCAGCCATAGCGGTCCGGCTGTTACCTCTGGTCTGTCCGCGCAGGTGTAGATGATGATGCGCTCCATCACAAAGAGTATCACTACCAAGTGACCTCTTCGATTGAAAGTGCGTGCTCTTCCGAATTGGCTGGTTGTCTATCTCCGCCCCGTACATGCATTGGTCCACTCGTCTGACATGGTGGGTAATAGACCTAAGAAGATGCAAAGGGGACTCCGTCGAGGTGAACACGTCGCTGAACGCGGAGTTCTCGATGATGCACGTCCGCCCCATCAACACCTGAAGAAAACAACACATCGCAAGAAATGAAAGTACAGGTACCTCCTGCCTTCTCTTCTTAGCGCGTTGCGGTTCAGGAGTGGATTTGGAATTCTGGCCCCAGGGGTGACAGAAAGGCGCAGCGAACAGAGTAGACACGCCCATCACCAGGACGCCGAACAACAACTGGATCTGGTCCACGAGGCGCGCCACAGACCAACCGCACCAGAAGTCCACCGGGGGCAGGTGCGACACGCCACGGTCAGCGGCCTTCTTCGACAGGACGCTGGACCCGGAGAACCATTCCCAGAACTGGTACTCTGCGTAGCCGTCGACGTTCGTCCCAGACTTTCCTGGCGCGTCAGCCTTGAACCGCTCGTCGAAATCAGCTGGTGTCACCCGCGCAGACGGGCCCTCGTAGTACGTGTCCGGCAGCGCTCTGTACTTGGAGATCATGGCGTTCATGCTCTTCTTGTCCAGCTCGCCCTCCAAGTGCTTCAAGGCTGCCCTCGCGTCCTTGCTGTTCACTGTGGCCCCCGCCACTCGGGCGGCAGATACCAATGGTTGCACCGCCTGGCCATCACGATCCGGAGCGTCGCGATTAGGTAGGTCCTTGAAGAGACGTTGAAGTCCCTGCTGCGTGATGTATGGCAGACCGCCCCAGGTATGGACCTTGATGGCGTTCTGCTTGGGTGTTCGTAGAACTGGCCCAGCTGCTCCCATCTCGTACTCGCAGCCCCTCTTCCAAAGCCAGCCGAGAGGTAGAAGATCTATGTTCTCTTCCCCTGGACGCCGCTCCACCTTGCAAACTGGGATACCTCTTGGGCCCTGTCCTAATTCGCACGGGCATGCGCCCCAGGCCAACTTCAGGGAATCGCTCCACTCCTTGGTGGCAGAACTCGGCACTTTATGCATCAAATATACATTTGCCCAGCTGTCCAAACCAACCGCGCCGGCCGGGAAGACCTCCGGAGCCGAAGTCAAAGCTGCCGCCCTTGCAGTTTCCGCTCGTGCTGGAGAAGATGCCGATGCCGAAAGGTCCGCCTGAGTTGCGGCTGCAGTCGATGAGTGGGGGGTCCTCGTCTTGCCTCTACCTTTTCCTCCTTTGTCTCCTCCACCTCTTCCTCCTTTCGTCTTCCCTTTGGCTTTCTCTTCCTCCTCTCGGGCTTTATCTCGCCGGGCGCGGTAGGCCTCCCAGTGCTTCTCCCGCTCCGGGTCTCTTCCTCCCCCGGGGGCAGTGCATTCTGAAGTATTGTGGCCTTTGACGCCGCAGATGTAGCACCTCCCCTCGTCGGTGGGAATGCCCGCGTGCTGGAAGTAACACGAAATCCCTCGGAGGCATGAGCCTTTCTCCCAGTCCCGGCATGTAGCTGCCCACCTAGAAGTCGTAGTAGAAAGCTTCTTGTCACTGCTGTCGGCGTTCCGCGGCGCCCGCGACGGCTGTGTTCCGGAGAAAGCGCCCCCTTTTGAAGCCTCCCCCTTTGCCGCCGCAGCCCGCTTTGCCTCCTGGTCCTTCTGCTGAGCCTGCATCTTTTTCTGCTGGTCAGTCAGAGGTAGACCAGGGTTTCCACTCTTCGTCCCTTGGAGGGCCAGGAACGACAGCTCGCCTTCGGCGAAAGCCGCCACCTGCCGCATGGACGCAAAAGTAACCACTTGTGGTAGATTGAGAGCATTTTCCAAACACATCCAACGGGGCCGTAAGTTATCGTCAGCTCCGGCCAGGACGTTCGAGAAGATGGACCTCAACGCAGTATACAAAACTGTGACATCCGGAAAGGACATCGAAAGCTGGTTGCACCTCCTGGCGGCAGCCCAGAAACGCTGGAGCTCGGCCAGGGCCGACTCCGGCTTGGAGCAAGGAGTCGGGTTGGTCAGCTGCTTCAAAACCGCCGACTTTTCGCCTGCAGCCCCAGGGCAGCACGTCTTCAGGACCAGGTAGAGAATGTCCTGGGTCTCGTCGCAGATTCCCTGAACGCCCCTCTGGGTCAGCTGCTTCTTCAGTAGCTGTGGTAAGCACGCAATCAACTTAGGTTTTATCCAAGTCTCCAGCTGTCGCCACTTCGGCTGGTTGCGCGCCTTCACTGTAATCCCCTCGCGAGTCATAATGGACGTCTTCATGTAGATGGAGTGCGTGGCCTCGGCCGTCTCCCAGCACCATGTCCACCAGGCCAAAACGGCCGGACCTGCCGCTTCAAGCGCTTGGCGCACGGCGTACCTCCACTTCCGAAGATGCTCTGGCCTTTCCGCCAAACTGCCCATCTCGATGTTGGGGAACTCCCCAACGCAGCTCTGAATCGCCTTGAGGATCATGCTGAGCTCCGCCGTGGACAGCGCATCCGACGGCACCATCGCTGCACGCGACAGTCCCGGAGAGCTCGCCCCGGTCCCGCCTGCGAGGCCAACTCCTTCATGGGCCAATGAAGGTGGGCTCGTCCCGAAGTGCGGCGGCGCGTCGTGAAGTTGGCCACCCCCGCGAGCGCCTCCGTACTGGGACCCTTCGAACATTCCAAAAACGTCATCGAAACTCCGCGGGATTTCACCCTCTGCCCCAGCGTGGCCCGTCCAAGACTGCACAGCGAGCTGCCCAGAAAAAGTCGCCGCGCTGGTTCCGAGAGACAGGACGTCTTTACCACAAGCTGCGCTGCCATCTTCGCCCAGTGCCCCCATATGCCTGGTGCCCGCGGCTGCATGGAGATGGGAATGAAGATGCGCAAGCCCTGGCGGTACTTGTTGGTTGAGGTAGCCGACAGCCCCGGAGCCTTGCTGCAGGTTGGCTCGGAGATGTCGCTCAGCTAAACTTTGTTCAGTTGGCTGAAGCACAGCGTCGGGCACGAGGTTCGTCACCCTCGCGCCGGGCACCCTCGGGTTGACGTCCAAGTTGCTCCTCAGATCTGGCCTTTGGTCGGAAGGAGTCCTCGGGACGTCTGGTAACGCATGCGCTCCGTATGCCGCCGGATTCCCACTTGGAACCCTGAGGCCCAGGGCATCGTAACGCCCAGTCGGTGTATCCAGATTGATTTCAGGCCCACCGGTAGAAGCTTCGAGCCACAAGTCCTCCGCGTCCGCCTCCCTCTCCCCACGGGGCGTGTGTCCTTGTGGAAGAGAGAAATGCGTAGCTCCATCACCTCCCACACCAGGCAGTTGTTCCGGCAGCGCCAGAGGCCCTGTACGAGAGTCCAAAACTGGAGCTCCTTGAAGATCTTGCCCTTGTACATGTGCATCGTCGTACTGGTGGTCGTACTCACCATTCAATTTGTGTACCTCCGCCTCCATGGTGTCCATCCTGCTTGTACGTCGCGTCAAATTACCCATGATCAACTGCTGGTTGTGGTCCAAACGGCACAGCGCGAAGTCGAACTTGTCCAGGCGGTTCAGGACGAGCTGGAGAACAACGTCCGTCGAGGTGGAAGTACTGACGCCCGGCTGGTGGGCAAGATCGCTGGAGGTGCCGGCCGACGGCTCAGGCACTCTCGCAGCGACCTCCGTGGACGGATCTTGCAGAAACGCTCGCGCAAGCTCGCCTGGGGTGCCGGCCAACGGCGCAGGCACTCCCGAAGCGGCTGCCGCGGACGCATCTTGCAGAGGCGCTCGTTCAAGCTCGCCTGGGGTGCCGGCCGACGGCGCAGGCACTCCCGAAGCGGCTGCCGAGGCGCCGGCGTGACCAGCGTCCTGCTCCTCCGCGGAGTTGAACGACACGTCCGCGGAAGACGGCGGGTCCTTCTTGTCGCCAAATTGCTTCGTCGTGGCTGCTGATTGCTTACGGTAGTAGGAGCTGCCCGGGAAGCCGACGCAATCCCCGCTTCGGAGATGCGGGGCGTGCCCTCTGTTCTCGGTGTGGCACGCAAGGCAGTGCCCCTCCCTTCGGCTGAACGCTGCCGTGAGTGCCAGCGGCGCTTTTGGGAGCGCTCCCGCGGACAAGCTGCGTCGTGGTGGTCGTCGTGGTGTATCCTCTATCGCCTTGGGAGGTTCTGGCACGCCGCTGGAGGCTGCAGCGTGGGCTGCTGCCACTGCTCCTCGTGCCAGTCCCACAGCCGAGGTAAGAACTGTTGCCGTTGCTCCACCCAGTGTAGCCCCAACGGTAGCCGAGACCCCCAGTGCAGTAGTC